AAAGGTCATCCAACTTAATAATTAACCCTAGTACATCTATACACACACCCCCACACACCCCACCACTCTTTATATTAAGTTTTAAAAACCTCCTTCCAACTTCCTGTTTACAAACTCTCTCTCTCTCTCTCTCTCTCAACTCAACAATACCCAAGTGTTAGAATTCCAGTTACCTTTCTTGGAGAAAGGTAAAGTTGTTTTCTTTCTCTAGAAAATATTAAATTTCAGATTTGGAGTTTCATTTGTTTGTGTTTTTTTTTTTGCTGAGAACAAAGAAAATTGTGAGATTTAAATAGAAAATCTCTTTTAGTTTTTATTTTTTTAGTTTGGGGTGTATTTAAGGGTAGTTTGGGAAGATAGTGGGGTTTTCTTAGAAATTGTGAAAATTTAAATTAAAAGTTGGGGTGAACTTAGAACATGGGGTGAACTAAGAGAAGTGTGGGGTTTAAATAGAAAATCTCTTTAAGTATTGGGGTGAACAAAGAGAAGTGCGAGGTTTAAATAGAAAACCTCTTATTTTATAGGGAGTTTTACTAAAACACCCAAAATGGGGGTTGAAATTATAAAAAAACCCAAGCACTATTTAAACATATAAACACACCCAAAACCCATTATTACACACACTCAAAACCCATTTATAAACACACCCAAAAAGTTGACTTTGGGGTTGATTTTGGGTGTGTTTTTATGTTTAAATAGTGCTTGGGTTTTTTTATAAATACATGTCTAGGATTGGGTTTATTTATAAATTTGTATATTTGATAATTGATATTGAAATAAATTTTGTTTTGATCTCGCTGGGGTTATCCTAAAAGAGAAAAGAAAATTGCTAGTTAGGTTTTCTGTTTGTCCTTTTCAATATGAAGATATGCGTTTCTTATTTAACTATGTCTCACATCTGTTGAGAGTTAGGTCTGAATTTTTTGTGTTTAATTCTTTCTTTTGGAACTAGGTCCCGTGGTTATTGTAAAACTTGTTTTCCCGTGTCTTCATTTTTTGACAGTTTGATGTTTTATATTTTCAAACATGTATTTATTTGTTTATGTGTTTGAGTGATTTATAGCCCTTTTCCTCATATTCTTTCATAGTGATTACACTTGTTTGACTAACATGAATCTAGTTGGACACTTGGTACTTTTTTCCAACTAAATTCAGCTTCTTTTGTTTGTTTAATGTTTAAGTCGATGCATTATTCTTGTTTGTCAATTGTTTACTACAATGTAGTCTCCTGATTGTATGGATTTCTGTGTACCTCTCTATCTCTCTCTATTCATTTTTGTGTCTAGGACTTGTGTTTGACAATTATCACATGCGCTTGAATAATGCGATATTGTTCAAGTTTGTTGCCCCCACTTTCCCTCTTGTCAAATGTGGTAGTGCCGTATTTGTGAACATGTTTAATAGTATTTTGATTGACAGTTGTTTAGAGCATCCACAATGGCTCCCTAAACCACCTCCTTAGACAAATTTTAAGGGGGGAATTGGAAAAATACAACTCCAACCATGCTCCCTATCCACCTTTTCGAGTTTGGGCTTGTAAATGGTAGACAATTCATGTCTACTAGGGGCAAATTGATTTAAATTATGTTATGTTATAAGTATGAAATTGCCATATAAAATGTACATGTTTATGAGGAAAAAAAAAGGAGACACACCAAACAATTAAAGATAACAACTAGCCTAATTTTCATTGCAAGCTTTGAAGCCAACCATGACTGAGAGCATCCACAATGTGCTCCCTAAACCACATCTTTAACAAAAATTTAGGGAGAAATTGAAATAACCCACCTCCAATCATGCTCCCTATCCAACTTCTAAAATAGGGAGACCTCTAGGAGCTCCTAAATTTGAGGAGAGAAAAAGCACTCCTAGTGGCTTCTTATAGTTTAATGGTGTTTTTTTATAAGAGTATTTTAAACCTTTAATTAATACTAACTATTTTTTATATTATTTTTTAATAGAAATGGACCAATTAAAACAGTGTTATAGCATTTATGACTCCCTAAACTAGAGAGCATGATTAGAGTTTAAATTTTATTAAGAGCTCATAAAATAGCTTTTATATGTTTTTAGCTAAATTTAAACTAAAAAATGGAGAGCATGATTGTGGATGCTCTTACATCCGTGAAATCTACATTTGTCTGTCCTCATGTTTTCAATTATAGCTGTGGCACTGTCAGCAACAATTAAAGTTTGTTTTGTTCAGTTTTAGTTTTGAATTTGGTAGCTGCCTGTATCTTTGACTTCTCTGTTCTTTATTCGATGGTGATGTATGTGGTTTCCTAGGTAAGTTTATCTAATTATGATGTAATCCAAAGTACGTGATAGAATACCCTTATAAGTTAGTTATTTGGGGAATTAGAAAGCTTACTTAATGGTTGTTAGATTTGTAATTTGAAGTATATCATTTTAAGATCTTTTTCTGCTTGTTGTAGTGAGATGGAAAATTTGAAGAAGTCTTTTTTGCCTCCACGTGAGGTACATGTTCAAGTGAAACATTCACTGCCTCCTCAACAGATTGAGATCTTCAAATCATTAGAAGATTGGGCTGATAAGAACATCTTGGTACACCTAAAGCCAGTTGAGAAATGCTGGCAACCACAAGATTTTCTTCCAATG